ATATATGAATTGGGCGATGCAATCACATGAAGCAACTGATTTTTTTTCAAACTATTGATGGTTTTTGGGTGGGTAATTCTAGCTGGAACCACCCTGGTTAACTCTGTGGGATCATATTTTATCAATGCCTTCTTGTCACCATACCCAACACCAAAAAACAGTGATGACCGAAAGCTTTTAAGAAATATATTTCCTTCTTGAATTTATTTATTTACTTTTATTTAATTTAATTTTTCGGTACGTTAAAATCAAATTTAATTTTCTCAATAATGTAATCTTTTTTTGTATTCTTTTTTTAAAAAAATTGTTGTGATCTCCTGTGGAAGTGCTTATTTTCAAAACAATTTACAATGCCAAATGATTGTTTTCGTATATTTCTCTCTGGATGACCTATCTGAGAGCGAACGATTACTAGATCGTAGTTTTGAGTCAGATGTTGGTGGAAGATGCATGCAGGATTTATGAACAATATAACTTTTGGATATTTATTCGAGTATATTACATAGAATATAAACAAATATATGTAATTTGCATATACATTGGTCTAGGAGTAAACATCCCTGTCTGATTTCTGAATTTACCTAACCTATTTAAATAAAGAAACAAACAGAAACAGATCCACACACATTCGTACGCAAAAATAAATAACTCACTTTGTGATCCAGTTTGAAGTATTCTGTTCCTCGCAGATGTAATGAGGTCTCGATTGGTACCGATAATTTCAGTATAATATTAAGAAATGGTAAAAGGTATGTGCAGATGAATATAGTTGAATGCCAAAATGTGTTTTGATTTAAGGAGAGGATGCAGAACAGAAGAATTGGAAATTATTTCCTATTCAAACTATCAGAAATTTGGTAGCTGGTATCTTCCCGTTTGAAGATAATTTATTTTTATTTTTGCTTGAAATGTAGCAGAATTGGGATGAAGAAACAAGTTTGAATTTTTTTTCTTTTCTTTTTTTTTTTTTTTTTTTGGTTTAAGGTACTTTCATCTCCTCTTCTGTGACTTTTGTTTCATAAAAGCAAATTCGTGTTTTTGTTAAATAGTGCTTGGCTTGAAGTTTTGATTTCGTCGCAGAGTAGGAATTCTTTTTTTTCAGCTTTACAAAATCCTTTAGGATTATTATACAACTGGATTAACTTTCTCTAATCCTTGTGGTTGTTTGTTTTTTTTTTTGTTTTTTAATAGAATAAATTAATTTTTTCGCTTTATTTGTTAATTGGATTTTGCTAACAGGTTTTTGTGTGTTTAAACGTTGTCATAAACGAATTACAAGAAAAAAAATGAAATAAAAGACGGTCAAAGTAAAAGACATTTAAGAATTACAGGTTTGTTTCCGTTTTCATTTGGTTTGGTTTGGTTTTTTTAAATAGTTCCTTACTTTCCCGTTTTCCAGAATTTGACAGATTTCTTATTCCATGAAATGTCATGCAGGTAAATGCATGTCGAAATTACGTATATATTTACACGCACGTGTCCGTTTCTCGATGCATATTTGTTTACAAGTGTGTTTCTTGCTACTTTCTCTGTATTGCATGTGTGTTGAGATTGGAAAAATAAGCTGGCATTTGATAAGCAGAATTCTTGTAAAAAATGCTTTTATATGTATGCATGTGTGCGTGTTTATATATTTACATATAGATATATAAATATATATATATATATAAATATATATTTAATTCTCTTATGAATTGTGTGCGTGCGTGTATAGATGCGTGTGGGCGTGCTTTCTTTTAAAACGAATTTTGGGATAATTGTCGCCCTCGAAAGAAGCGAACTGCGCCTGATGTTCCTACAACTCTCCTCAAAGTAGATTCTTAGAACTGAAGAAACGGAACTTGGCTTATTTATAAGTTTTGCTGACGAGGTGTTTTTGGAAGGAGGAGGAGGAGGAAGAAGAAGAAGAAAAAGAAGAAGAGGCATGTACTGGACGGGGTAGTGAACCAGGGTAGGGAAGATGATGCGAGGGTTAGTAAGAAAACACCGCACCATTGCTTTCGACTTACAGACATCTGCGTGTGCACTCACACATGCACACACAATCTTGTTTTCATCCACCTTGCACTCCTCCTTCACACACACACACACACACACACATATATATATATATATATATATATATATATATATGTATATGTATTTATGTATTCTTGTCTTGTTCTTCTGGGTGAGCTTTAACTTTGGGATGAAGAGAATTGTTGACTGCAAGGGGCAGGGAGTATAGATTTTGAAAATAAATATATATATATATATATATATATATATATATATATATATATATATATATATATATATAGCAAGGCGAGATGTAAACTTCTCGGAATAGATTAAGATATAAATTCAAAGATAAAAAAACATTTGATCAGTTGGCATAGTTATTGGTATTGAATCATGCTCAGAAGTGTTTAGTGTGCGTGTGTGTGACTGCACCTGTGTGTTTAAGTGTGTGCGTGTATGTATGTGTGCATACACACACATATATATATATATATATATATATATAAGGATGGATAATATAAGTACAAGGAATTGTTGTGAAAAAAAGCCAAAAGTGTTCAGGATTTTTTATAAAGCAGTGGAAGGCACACTTGAGAGAAAGAGTAAGCCTGAGTTTGGACAGAAGAAGAAGAAGAAGAAGAAGAAGAAGAAGAAGAAGAAGAAGAAGAAGAAGAAGAAGAAAGAAAGAAAAAGAGGAAAGAAGAAGAAGAAGAAGAAGAAGAAGAAGAAGAAGAAAGAAAAAGAGGAAAGAAGAAGAAGAAGAAGAAGAAAGAAAAAGAGGAAAGAAGAAGAAGAAGAAGAAGAAGAAAGAAAAAGAGGAAAGAAGAAGAAGAAGAAAGAAGAAGAGGAAAGAAGAAGAAGAAGAAGAAGAAGAAGAAAGAAAAAGAGGAAAGAAGAAGAAGAAGAAGAAAGAAAAAGAGGAAAGAAGAAGAAGAAGAAGAAGAAGAAGAAGAAAGAAAAAGAGGAAAGAAGAAGAAGAAGAAGAAGAAAGAAGAAGAGGAAAGAAAAGAAAAAAGAAAGAAAGAAAAACATAACAAAATGAGCAAAGAAAGAGATAGAAAACAGAAGAACGTAGAAAGAAAAAGAAAGAAGATAAAGGAAGATGAAGAAAGAAACAAACAAAGAAGACAAAAGAAAAAAGAATAAAGAAGAGAAAAAAAAGAAAGAAACAAAAAGAACAAAGAAAAAAGAAAGAAAAGAAAACAAGAAATAAAGGATAAGAAAAAAGAAAGAAAAAAAGAAAAGAGAAAGAAAAAGAAGGATCTAAAGCAATTAAGAACAAAAAATATGTGAAGGAAAGAAAGAAGAAAAATAATTGAAACAATATTGAAGCCAACATTAAAGAGAAGCAAGCAAAGAAAAAAAAAATTCAAACATTTAAAAAAGAGGTAAAAAGTGTATAAAATTCCGGAACGGAAAACAAAACGGAAAATGTCTTGTCAAAGGAAGCATCACGAAAAATGCAGAGAACGAGACAGACTTTCACGAATGAAAAGGAAATAAAATAAGAGAAAGAAAATGAGAGGGAGAAATCTTCTCGGAGAATTGTTATTCTTTATTACTTATATTGGTTTTAAACCTATCTCCCAGTGAGGAATAAATTCACTGTTCAGTACAAAATGCCAACAATAGCAGCTACCCTAACCAGAGGCACCTAGATCTTATCGAATTTAGATTTACTACACATAACATGGTTACAAAAATCAGTTAGAACTAGTAAAGAACTGACTACCTACTATTCTTTATTAACTCTTTACATATAGTACCACGGCATCGAATAATACTTGCTTTAAATCAGTGATAACATTTGGCACAATAGAAAACAAAAATTAATATTATAATATATATATATATATATATATATATATATATATATATATATATATATATATATATATATATATGTGTGTGTGTGTATATATATATATATATATACGTTATTTAATATATTTTATTTAAAGTTAAACTAAAATTTTTAAGTCTAAAAAAAATATATATATATATATATATATATATATATATATATATTTATTTATTTATTTATGAAAAGATTTTTAGTGCAAACACTGTCTAAAGAGATATGTGTGCACACACACACACACACATATATATTATTTTATGATATTAAAACAACATGTAAAAATTGCTACACAATTGCAGTCGTGTTTCGACGTATACTAACTTACCTGGATATATATATATATATATATATATATATATATATATATATATATATATATATATATATATATATACATGAGTGTGTGTTTCTGTGTGTATGTGCGATTAACTTGTCCATTTACATCTATCCTAATGTATCTCAATCTGTTCATATCTATCTATCCCATTCTGTTCTATATATCTAATGTATCTATCTATCTCATCATATCTATCTATCTATCTATCTATCTATCTATCGTTATGTGTATTGCCGAAGAGCATTTGTTTGTTTTGTGGCGTTTTTCGGTTATGTAGCAAATACATTTTCGTGGTTTCCAAAAAACTGTCAAAAAAAGTCCTAACATTCTACCAGACCAGTTAACTGTATAATAATTATTGTTATATATATTCCCCTGCGCATCGATCCATATTATAAACAAATTTCTGTATTCAGTCCTGCACGTGTTTATATATAACTATGTGTTTATATTGCCATATATATAAATATATATATATATATAATCGATATATGTGAATGCATGCAATAAAGTTGAAAATTAGGCTTTGTCTACGCACGCCCACCCCCATCTCTCACTCTGTCTCTGTCTGTCTGTCTCTGTCTCTCTCTCTCTCCTCAGACTGTTAGGGTTATGTATGCAAAAGTATTTGAATCTAGGTATAAATATAAATATATGTCCCCGATCAAAAGCACTTATTTTTCTTTCTGTTACTTCATACTTGTCAAATGTTCGTAGGCAGACAATTAATGACAACACCAAGACCAGGTCTCCGGGAATAAATTGTGATACCGAAAGTATTTCAGTAAACAAGCACCTTAA